TTGGTATAAGGCTTTTTGCTCAGAATCCAGCAGGGCCCACTCCTCCATGGAGAAAAACACAGCTACATCCTCAAATGAAACTAAATTCTGACACAGGGAGAAGGAAAAACCACAATGTATTTCATGAACATCTCTAACTAAGTGATCACAATTGTGTTGGGGGCCTATTGTAGATTTTACTGTTCCGGCCACTAAATTCAATATCCTAACAGGCTCCTTTGCCCAACTTGGAAACTCTACAGTTTGTTCATTAAGAAGAGGATTCCCATGTAATCCTTGGAAGTGTTCATAGTTAGGGATGTTCATGAAATACATTGTGGTTTTTCCTTCTCCCTGTGTCAGAATTTAGTTTCATTTGAAGATGTAGCTGTGTTTTTCTCCGTGGAGGAGTGGGCCCTGCTGGATTCTGAGCAAAAAGCCCTGTACCAAGATGTCATGCTGGAAAACAAGAGGAACATGGCCTCTTTAGGTAAGCGATTCTGTTAAGATACTGTAATGCAATTTTTTTAAAATTTACATTAATGCATGTGAAGTCCTCCAGCACTATTGTTTTTTGCTGCTGTATTCTTCTCTAAAGTGCTGATTTTCCTAATTTGCAAGCTATTTATCTGAGGTTTTCATCTTTTTCTATGAAGCCTGGCTTTTCTTCACAAATGGACAGTATGGAGAGTGTGGCCTACACAATTCACTCTCAAATATGGAATATATGCACCACAGTTTAATACGGTACTGTAAATAAAAGACTTTCAAATACTGTGCTAGCAGCGGCCATTGCTATGTTTTTGTCAAGGGAAAGAAATAGTTGACAGCAAAGGAAAACTCATTCTTGCACTACAGTACTTCCTCCCACCACTATAACATTGCTGTTACTAAACAGTTCTGGGCCAGTCTCTCTCTATCTCTATCTCTACAGGACAAGATACTGTACTTTTCCATCAACTCTTTCTTAGGCTAGAACTGTCTTCCCAAGGAAAGCGACCAAGTTCTACTCCAGCTCAACATGGAGGTAAGAAACAAAGAGAATGTGTCGATTTGGACTTGAAAATGAACATTAAAGCCCATGAGGAGGGGAAGAAGGTAAAGACCATAGGAGAAGAAGAAGGACTGGACTGTTCCGCTGTATGCACAATCCTTAAGGATAAAGAAAAGATAAAAATGATTAAATCAGCTCCAGGAACAAATTTAATTTCATTTAATTTATTAGATTTATAGGCCGCCCAATCCCAGACCATGTGATGGATGTGTGGGTGTTGGGGCAAGGTCTTGAACTTTCAACTGGGTGGGGAAAACCTGGAAGCTTTCAGATTCAGGTTTTCCCCGATGTGCCAACACGGCTCATGTAATAAATTGGTGTTTTGAGGAATCCCTTGCCTTGAGCTATTATTTTACAGAGGTTGCTATTTGGAATCCTGACACCCTGACAGATTCCCCCCCCCCCTGGTTTGAAAGAGTGGTGGAGGTGAGCAGCTCAGATAAAAGGCTAATTTGTTTGATGTATGCAGTAGATAAAAGAGTGTCCTTTACATTCCCAGATAGATAGAATAGAATAAAATTCTTTATTGGCCAAGTGTAATTGGACACACAAGGAATTTGTCTTGGGTGCATATGCTCTCGGGTGTAGTTCTACTGCTACTTAGTCTGATAAAATGGCCTAAAACCTCCACACACTCTCTCCATGAAGTTTCCCATTCTAGCAAGTTTCTGATCCTGCCTGTCCCACTTTCTAGAGAGCTTTTTAGAAGTTGCTTTCATTTGGTTGTTTTTTGGTCTACAATGATGACACTTAAGAGCCCTTTGGGTCTACGGTTTGATCATAAGGATTTTTACTCCTTGCAGTCATCTGGTGGGAAAGAGTGTTTACGACTATATGACTGCAAGAAATATCAATCCTTCCACCCTCCACCGCTCAGTCAGAACTGAAGAAGCTTTTTGGATGAGAAGGGAAACTTTTATATATAAATAATGTAAGTCATCCCAAGTTTCCTTATGGCAACTGAAAAATCAATAAATTTAAGGAATGATTGAAAGAACGAACGAAGAAAGAAACAAAGGCTGTTTTTAAGTGCCTCCTCCTGCATCCTTGGAACTAAATCTAAAGCAGTAGATCTGATGCTTCCCGCCAAATAAATTTTAAATGATCTTATCCAAAATTTTCACGTTTTCTTTTTGTACCATTGAGGACAAGGAAGAGCCAAAGGACAAATCTTATATCAACATAATACCAAGCCTAGCACCATGTGCCAAGTATCAGACGAAAAACAATAAAAACTCTGAGCTTGATGATTTTTCAAAGTATAGATTTATTAGGCAAGTCATATTGGCACATCTGGTGAAAATCTGACTCTGAAGGTTCTGAAGTTCCCCCACCCAATTCAAAATTCAAAGTTCTTCCCCTCACAGTCCACTCATACATCACATGGTCCAATCAGGTCACAGTCCAAGACCAGTTGTTTTCCTCCCATGCCTCACCAGGTGCTGATGAGAACGTCCTTGCTTCCCAGGGGAAAGAATTCTGTTTTGGCTACACATACTCAGCTATCTCTACTCCGCCCTCCCATTCCCACAGCTCTACCCAGCCCCGCTGTGGCAACCCTAAACATGATCCAAAATGGCCTCCAGGTTGACATCATGTTTGAACTAATGGGATTTTTGAGGAAATTTGATACTGTTCCAATACAGCAACGGTGCTTGATCCCTTTTGCACCTTGGTTTGTGTTAACATTTCTTTTTTTATTACAAGCAGGTGACGGATGGGAGATAAAGGATTCTGGCCAAGAGGCAGCAGCATCTTTGCCAAAAGAGAAAAAGGAAGTTGCAGAAAAGATATATCGAAAGCAAAGTTCTGAGGAAAACCAGTTAACGAGTGAGCTGGAAAATTGGTCTAGTTTACCTTGTCCAGATACCAATGTCTTATTGGACGCAGATGATTGCCAAGAAAAAGAAGTGTGTTCAGGGTGTGGAAAAATACTCCGAGATGAATCTGGATTATGTGACTGTTGCAGAAGCCCTGCTGGAGGGAAACAAAATGAAAGCAGAAAAAACTTTGGAAGGACTCTACCTCCTCCTATACCTGAAAGAATACAAGGAGAGAAATGGTACAAATGTACAGGGTGTGCAGAAAGCTTCAGTACAAGCCTTTCTCTTGCATTGCATAAAAAGATTCACAAAGCAGAGGATCCACACAAATGTCTGAATTGTGGAAGGACCTTCAGGCAGAAAAATCATCTTAATTTACATAAGAGGGTCCACGAAAACAGGAAGCAGCTTCATTGCATCACCTGCGGAAAGAGCTTCAGAAACATCGCCTCACTTACTTCCCATCAAAGCCTCCACAGAGAGGAGAGGTTGTATAAATGTAGGGAGGGTAGAATGAAGTTTACTCAGAGCAATGAACCCAATTCCCAGAAGAAAAGACCCACTGGGAAGAAATCAGGTAAATGCCTAGAAATTGGGAAGAGCTTCCACTCTGCAAGTGACCTCACTTACCATAATAGGATCCATACAGGGGAAGAGCTGAATCATTGCTTGGTGTGTGGGAAGAGTTTCATCGAAAAAAGTCATTTCACTTTACATAAGAGGATCCACACTGAAGAGAAGCCGTATAAATGCACAGAGTGTGGAAAATGCTTCAGTGCCCCCAGTGTCCTTACTTGCCATAAGAGGATTCACACAGGGGAGAAACCCTATGAATGCTTGGAATGTGGAAAGAGCTTCATTCAAAAAGGTCATCTTAAGTCTCACGAGAGGATCCACACAGGAGAAAAACCATTTCAATGCATGGAGTGTGGAAAGAGCTTCCATTTCTCAGCAAACCTTAATGCCCATCACAGAATCCACACGGGGGAGAAGCCCTTTCAATGCCTGCAGTGTGGAAAGTGTTTTTCCCGTTCTGATAGCTTGCATGCCCACGAACAGACCCACACAGGGGAGAAACCGTACAAATGCCTGGAGTGTGGAAAGAGCTTCTGTAGATCCAGCATCTTAACTTCCCATAAAAATCTCCACAGTGGAAAGAAACCGCATCAATGCACTGAGTGTGGGAAGCGCTTCAGTCAAACAAGTCACCTTAATATCCATAAAAGGACCCACACAGGGGAGAAACCGTACAAATGCCTTGAGTGTGGAAAGAGCTTCTGTAGATCCAGCACATTAACTTCCCATAAAAATATTCACAGTGGAGAGAAATCACATCAATGCACCGAATGTAGGAAATGCTACCGTAATCTACAGAGTCTTACGGTCCATAAAAGGACCCACACAGGTGAAAAGCCTTATAAGTGCAGTGAATGTGACAAATGCTTTAGCAACTCATGGTCCCTCAATCGCCACAAAAGGCTCCATACTGGTGAGAAACCATACGAATGCAGCACATGTGGAAAGAGATTCAATGCTAAAAATAACTATATCATACATAGCAGAACCCACACTGGGGAGAAATCATATCAGTGTCAGGAATGTGGAAAACCATTCAGTGAGTCTCAAGAATTGAAGATCCATAAAAGGATTCACACAAGAAGAAACCATATAAGTGTATGGAGTGTGGGATGAGTTTCAGAAGAAGTGGTTACCTTTGCATCCACAAGAGGATCCACACTGGGGAGAAACCATATATATGTAATCAAACGTAATAATTGGAGAGATGGTGCTGTGTTTGCACCATATAGCATTGGTTGTGTTTAACTGATTTCTGCTCTAAGATACGATATTGATTGTGTGTATTTTTTATTAATGCCCTAACTTGGACAGTAGCTAAAGGCTTAGCTTACACAACTCAGATACAGACTCTTTTTGATAAGTAAATTCGACAATTTAGGGAACCAGCTGTAGAAAATAGAGGTGGCCCTTGACTTATGACCACAATTAAGCCCGAAATTTCCGTGGCTAAGCAAAAGGGTTGTAAAGTGAGTTTTGTGCCATTTTACAACTTTTGCCACAGTTCAATTAGTAATATAGTTTTTAAGTTAATCTGGTTTCCCCATTGACTTGCTTGTCAGAAGGTCTCAAATTGTGATTACATGACCGTGGGACACTCCAACTATCAAAAACACAGGCCAGTTGCCAAGTGCCCAAATTTTGATCACATGACACGGTGATACTGCAACAGTTGTGTGAAAAAAAAAATGATAAATTATTTTTTTCAGTGCCATTGTAACTTTAAACGGTCTCTGAACAAATGATTGTAAGTTGGGGGCTAATTGTAAAGCAGCAATTATTTATTTCTTATTAAGGCAGAATCATGAATGTTAAGACTGTGTTGTTTCCGTCTAACTGCCAATTCATTGAAACCCACCTTGGAAAACATAGGAAAGGAATTTCTTAACATCAAAATCAGTCAGGACCTGCACTAGGGATCTCCAAACTTGACAATTCTAAGACTTGTGGACTCCAACTTTCAGAATTCCTATGGCACACAGAGACTGGCTGGGGAATTCGGGGAGTGGAAGTTTACAAGACTTAAAAGTTGCCAATTTTGGAGAGCCCCTGGCCTGTACTTATGGAATTACCGTCTGTGGTTGTTTCTAGTGCCGTCCTGCTGTAAAGTCTTTAGGTGTCCAATAAGTTGAAAAGGGAGAAAATTATGGTCAATATTTGCTTGCTCTTCAAAAAAAAAAGGATTACAAGCATTATCGGACACCTGAATCTTCAAAATAAAAAGTTAAAAATTCAAAATGTAGTACGGGACAAGAAATAGGATTGATCGGAACACCTCAAAAAAGAAAAAGTATGCTGTAAATAGGAAGTGTCATGGAAAGCTATGCTATAACACTGCCAAAGTGACTTTTACAAGCATGTTTAGGTTACCCTGTGCACATATTAGAATAGATTTAAAAATAGCTTGGATGAGGTCTGTATTACATATACTGGTATGCAGAAAGGCTAAGATGTTAGTGTAAAACAGGCAGGAATTGCTGTAAAGGGAGATGAAAAAATTCTTTCTGACTGTGACTTGTAAACTGGCAAATGCTGTGTAAAGCCCCCCAGTGGAAGTTGGTGGGGTATAAAGACTTTGAGGGAGATTTCCTTGTGTTACTTTTTCTGCATAATAAACTTTTTGGTTGCAATCTCCACCTCGACGTTTTCAATTGGAGGCATGGGCACATCGGGTAAGGGGGCTGGAGCAGGAAAGGTAAGGAAAAACCAAAAGTGCCTTTGAGTCCAGAAGGATCTCCTTCCTTCTTTCAACCAGATGGCAAGAGAAATTCTTGAGGAGGAAATGGGGAAAACGCCAGGAACCTTCTCTCTGCAGACTTCAAGCATGCCCTGATAGGCTTGGAACTGTTTAACTATGAAGCAAATATTTTGTACAGGTACTCCTCCACTTACGAC